CCTCTCTCTGATCTCAAAACCCCCCCCCCAAAACTTATTCTCTTCCTAACCTTATCCTCAAAATTTCTTCAATCTTCTGTCTTGGATCCGGAATTGGCTCCCACCGTCAGAGCTTAGATTCGAAATTGGCTCCCGCCGTCAGAGCTTCCTCCTCCATTTTTACCTTTAAGAGATCCATTTATCGAAAACAACGTTCCCTGAAACGGCACAGAGAATAGGACAGCTTGAAACAGAATCGAAACCCCATACTCGGGTCCACATTGAGTCGCCCGACCAATTCAGGTCTCATATTGGGTAAGATGCCCGTAGTAACCTGGATGTTCCCGTAATTGGATCAAATTGGTCCTTCACGTCAGACTGGCTGAGGCCCTTAGTAAGACCTGGATTTTCCTGGAATTAGACTGCATTGGGTTGCCCGACCAATTCAGGTCTCATATTGGATAAGAAGACTCGGATTGGATTCTCGAAATTGGATCCAATTGGCTCTTCGAACCAAGCTCATCTGTTGTGTGAATTGGTCCTTTCCCTTCCTACTGACTCCCGTTATTGGAATCGAATGGAACATTTCAGTATCCCCCGGCTGACTGTAACGGGGTGACTGAACCTGACCATTCAGTATTTGCACTGGAGTTGGTCGTTGCTCCCAATATTCGAGGTAACTGAACATTAATAAAAGTCCCCTTTCTTTATATTTTCATAATATACTCGTGTTACAACACGACAACGTGTGACAACAATCTCAAGTAATACCACACCAAGTTTAGGAGACATCACATAATTCCTCCATAATTCAATCACTGGAACCCTTCGCATCCAATTGTCATCCTCTTACACTTCTTCACACAAATTCAAACCCCATAGTCTCCTCTTCCAATCATAATATTCAATGTATCATGATTCTTCCATTCATTACCATTCTCCACAATTACTTCCCATCATCCACTTCTAATTCTCCATTGTATTCATCCCACAAATAAATTCAATACTTCATTCGACAACATCAAATCCTTTTTTTTATTCTAGAATTTCACGTCACATTATTCTTAAAACCATCCATGGCTCTTCTTCTATGAAGAAATCAAAGAAACAAAGAAGTGGCACCAAGCTCACTTCGGCTCATGACCATCACAAGCTTACCATGCAACCCTAAACTTACTCTTGCTCACTTTGAGATGCCAACAACCACACAACACAACTGATGATAACTTCTATTCATCAGTTGACCAGCTTCTCTCAACCTTACATGCATTGTATTGTGAAAAAAAAAAAAAATCCTACCCATTCTACATAGCTTTGCTCTCAACTGTCTAGCGTCCTCACACACATGGAATCAGGTAAAACAAAACTTCTTCAACGAATCGTCACAAATTTTTCGACCATCTAGGCTCATTGGATGGATCAATTCCAACATTGTCCATAGATGGTTCTATAGATTCCGGTTCTAATGATAAGGGTTTAGGATTTAAGATTACATGGTAAGTCCTCTTCTTTCAAATTTTTAAAAATCGTCTCGGATTCACGTATAATAAAGTCATAATTGGTTTCCATGGATACATGTAATAAATTAGGTACCCATAAAATCATCTAAATTGAATGGATCCATTAGAAAAAATAATATAAAATAAAAAGTAAAAATTAAAAACCTTCTACGACATGATACAATCCATGCCGACGGACTTGAAATTCCCCCCTTCTCTCTTCCCCCTCTCCCTCCTTCCCAGAAAATTGTGAAATCGGCTATACTGAAAGAAGCACTAGATTACTAGGCAAAAACAATTTGGAATGTAATTTAATATCATAATAACTCTTACTTCGACATTGTGTAGTTCCCATGGTCAGGAGAGCCATAGCCCTAGCGACCAGGTTTAGGATTTAGGGTTTAGGATTTAGAATTTTTTCAATTCTAGTAACCGATATGGGAGGGAGTTCTTGTTGCCAAAATGTTCATCCAATGCAATTGTGGGAAATTTCATCCAAACATCAGAAATTTCAGACTATTGCTTCAAACAATCTTGCTCTACATAATTTTCAGTTGTCATAGACTTCTTCCCCCAAAATATACGACTCTCAACAAAAAACGGATCATAATCTTCCTTCTATAATCAATCTTCACAAAATTCGACAACAATCTTCCAAATCTATTCTTATAATTCAATCACACAATACTTCAATTGCTTACTCGATATCTCATGAATCAATCTTTTTCTTTTATTTCACAGTATCACTTCACAGTGATCGAAATCTATTCCTTCCTCTTCAAAAACATGAACAAAATAGGAGATGGCACCAAGCTCATTCTGGCTCATGACTATCGCAGTCCGACCCCTCCTACTTCTTCTCCAATTGTTGTATATTTCACTTTGAATCTACGGATTTCAATCGATATTTCCTACCGAATTATTTTTTACAACCAAATCATCCATCCTATCTTTCGAGTGGACTACTCCAAACTTGGATGATTCATTGACTTTATCAATATTTCACAAAAACTGATTTCTAACCATACTACATAGCTTAAATTTGATAACCGTGCAGTACCCTTGCAAACACAGAATTGGTACACATCCAAACTAAACTTCTTTATAGAAACCCTATAAAAATTGGCTATTCCCTTGGCTCATTCGATCGACCAATTTCCGCATTCTTTGTTGTCGGTTCCACTGATTCCGGTTCCAAACATAAATCCTCATCCTCCAATTCGGCCGTCGACTCTTTCCTCAATTAGGTTGATAAGTCTTTATTATACTCTCCCAATTCACGGACTTAAGCCTCCAATTATAAGATTTGGACATCTCTCGATTCCAACCGGTGCTGTTGTTGTCTCATCTTCTCCTCCCATTCTGCAACTACTGAAACTAACACCATCGACGTGGGTGACTAACTAATACTAGCCAAATCATCCACCAAATTGGTCAGTTTGGCCTTCAATGCTCCAATTTCAGCCCGTAATCGCTCCGTTTCACATCTAAGTTGGTCACCCAATTCTGCTTTTTCCTGTTCCAGTAATGCCATCTTCTCTCATTCTATTTTCAACTGGCACTTTGTCTTCTCCCGTTCCATAATTAATATATTGTGAAGCTGGATTAGGTCTTGACCGTGGCCTTTCATAATGCGTTGAATGCATTCTTTTTCTTTTTTCCAAGCTTCCTGTTTCTCTCCAAATTCACGCTTTAATAACAACTTGGATTCTGTATTTTTCTGGATGATTCTTTCCTGCTCCATGATTCGGTGACTTTCCTCTGATATCACTGTTCTACTCCCTTCCAATTCGTGCCTCACCTGGCCCTCTACATACAATGTACGTATCATGCAATGTAATTGAAAAACATGCTTCAATATAGCATTCTTGAGATGTAAGTCTTCTGGCAATCGACCATGTGGAAATGCCAACCGATCGATATTCAAAGAAATGGAGACTTCATTCTCCACATTGACTGCCGAATAAATCGAGATCCGTTCCAATGCGACTTTCGGAATGGCCTCCCATTCCAACGTACAATTGGATTCTCTAATTTTGTGTACCACGTCCCCTGAATTGGCGATCAGTGCCAATACATTCCGTTTACAACGTTGAGGCACCGGCAAGGGTATGTTTTTCCTCGGTATTGACGGTGCTTGACTCAACGCATACGCAATGGCAAAATGTATATAGTTGGAATATAGCAAAGACGTGAACTTTCCTAGTTTTTGCTTGGTTTCCATCTTTGCATGAATACAGGTCACGACAAATGCTGTCCAGTTGAACACCATTCCTTCAAGCGTCCCTACTGTCATAAACAGTAATCGTCTCGATATATATGTGATGTGTCGATATAAGCCCAAACGCCTCTGAACGAAGCGCAACCATTCTAGAAGCTCTGATGTAATTGCCTCGACCATCCGCCATCCTTGACTCTTTTCAAATGATGCCATTTCACCTTTAAAAAACGTCCTGGGCTGAAATTGGTGGACACTTCGACGCCCACCGCAAGCTCTCCAACGGAAAGATGCAGCATCTTTTGTAGGATCACATCATCAATCCCAATGACGTGCCCTCATACCACACTCGATCCGTCCTTTGGATCATAGTTTGCGATGTACTCTTCTAATAATCTCACATCAATCGGCGGTAAATTCTTTGACATTTGCAAGAACTTAAACATCCGTGCGTTTCAAAAATCTTGCAATCTTTTTGGCAACCAACAGACTTCCAACTTCATCGGTTCTATACTAGTAACGATTACCATGGACGGTGGCCCTAGATTGCATTTAGCTTTCACATTTCGGCCTCATTCCTCTCCATCCAAGTTTAGGGTTTAGGATTTAGGGTTACAAGAGTATCTTAGAGATTTTTGAGTCTTAAATTTCTCTCAATATATTACTGTTTTTTTCGTTTTGAAATTTTGCCAAGGCTTATATTGTCCCAAAGACCTCTATAAACGTTTTTGTTTTTTAAAAACATGTGTTTCATTTTTTAGATTTTAGGGTTTAAAAACCTTAATTAGGGTCTACAAACCCTAATGAGGGATCTAAATTTCAAAAGATGTGAAATTCATGCATAGAGTTGATAGAGACATACCTTAAATGGCTGAGTGGGATTTTCACAAAACTAACGTGGAACTAGAAACTCACGTTTGTCGTGCACACACACCTTCCTTACTCCATAACCGGATGCGACTCTCATGTCCACTTCGGCCCGACCACAGTGTAGGATCCACCAAAACATCACGTACCTAAACAAGCATTGGAGGTATAATATGTGATCAAGATGGACTCCTACTTTGTGACTTCTCAACAACCGGTTCCAAAGTAGCACAAAAATCAGGCGGAGCAAAGCTTACAGTTGGGAGCACCATGAGAACGCCACATCCAACCTGCTGTGAGTGCTGGGCTGTTTGAATTGGACAAGCTTGCAGTAGTCGTTGTATTGTACCATGAGAATCATCAACAAATCATGGAGGGCGCGTGCTTCTTTCACACCCTCATCGAAAGATGCTCGAATGATGTGTCATTCGGCAGAGTGGCATGGACAGGTGACTTTTACATATCGCCAAAGTTTTTACAAAATTGCATCTGTTTTACTAGACTTCATGAATCACTAAAAGCAAGATCATAGTTACAACAAAAAGTACGCTAGTTTACATTTGCATGACTTGGAACCTTTCGGAGTACCTTGTGTATCAGAACAACTAAGATAACCTCGGTGTTTGTGCTCTCGTACAACTCTATAAAATTAGCAGCTACATCTATTTGCAGGGTGCGCAACCAGGTGCACCTCTTCACGATATAAGCTTGACTACAACCACATGAAAGCACCACATGTTATGGAACTGTCAATGATTTGTAATGTGCAATAAATTATGCTTCGTCTTTGGAGTTCAAGGTCGACGCCGCCAGGATGGATCCTACTGATAATCCCGTCTGGCCTCATCCTAGATCGGAGTCTGCATCTACCACCACCGTGAGTCCAACCGACGAGGTAGACGTCGATGCGACCTGCTTTATTGTAGTCCTTCGCAACCTTTGTAGTCCGGTCGGAGAAGTCGTGCATCCGGCGAATCGTAAAGTCAGCCTAAGTAAACCTGGGATCCTTCAAGAAATGGATGCATGTGAGTTCTGATCTTGTTGTCATGAAAGTGAACCCCTCCATTATCCCTCTCCGGATTCAAAATACCGTCCCTCCCTCTTCGATATACTACTCCCTTGATGCTCTACCCACTATATTACTCTACCCCGTTGATATTTAGCCCGCTCGATGCCCTTCGTCCTCAATAGCCTACTCCCTCGATAATCTGCATCGTGAATACTCTATCCCAACAATATCCTACACCCTCAATATCTTGCGTGTAGAATGTCCTACCTCCTCGATAGTCTGGCCTCTCAATACTCTATCCCTACAATATCCTATGCTCATGATACTTTAGCTCTCGATACTCTACCCCCATTGATACTCTACCCCTTCAATCTTATCCCCTAAGATACCCTGCCTCTTCAATACTCCGGCTTATCATTACTCTGCCCCCTCGATACCTTGCCCCTCAATACCTGGGATTCTAAAATCCTGCTGACCCTTTCGATGACCTGATCCTCCATTTCCTCGCTCCGGACTCTAAGTACTGCCTCCAATACCCCCTCTCGATACCTTGCTCCTTAAACATCTGTCCTCAATACCCTCCTTCTGCTCCTCTTAACCCCCTTATACTCTCGATATCTGACTCCAACTTCTGCCTTTTCCCTCGCTCCTCCATAATACGCTACTATGGACTCCAAATGCTAATCCTCCCCCATTCCCCCTGCCTTTCTCCGATTCCATGATGCTCTTCATAACAGTCCCTTACTCTTTATGACTGTCGACAGGTCGCCCGAGAACATGAGCAACGCACACTAAGATGGGCCAAGCTACTTGAGCTGAATTGTGCCGTAACGGCTTGTATTGAAGGCAAAAAAATAGTTTATATCAGGTCAAAAGCTCCCACTCTAGCACACGGTGCATGCCAACTGTGGGGTTCCTAGATCGAACCCTATGTATTGTGTCCCGCGGCAGGTCGGGTGTCACACTTGTTGGGTCGGGGTATCCATGGATGCTTGTGAGGGACCCTTATCCGCCCTTGGATCAATCGGCAGCCCGTCGATTAGATAATCCAACCCCCACCCCTCCCTTCTTGCTCAATACCTTGTTGCCCTTCTCCGACTCCTGGATGCTCTTCAACTCAATCTCCTGCTCTTCACAACCATCGACATGCCCCCTTGGGACATCAATGATGCACCTTGGAATTGCCCAAGCTACTACGAGGGAGGTGAGAGAGTGGGGGTTTATTGAGGAATTGTCAATATCGGGGTGAGCAGGATTTGATGTTGGTGAAGGACCTCTATCTGCCCTTGGATCGATTGGAGAATCCCACCTTCACCCCTCCTACTCGACTGTAGATTTTTTTGCATCTATTGCAAGGCCACTGTTTTTGTTTCTCAAATCCCACCGCACAATGCCAATTACATTCCCGACATTCTGCTGCCTTTCCCTATATTGCTCCTGACTCTAACTACTGGCTCCACATATCTCTTCATCCCCTCTCTCGTCTCCCTCCCCTCTCCAACAACAGGCTGTTTTTCCTCGATTCCCTATTGCTCAGTCTTCAATCACTCCTCCCGCAGCCAGTTTCCACAATCTAGGACAAACGCCCTGCAATAGCCATCTCAATCTGGCTCTCCATCCATGATGAGTGGAATTTGCACGGATTAGCGCCATGCCGTGCCTTACCCCTCCTCAAACCGCTGCAATCACTCCTTGCGTGGAGCGCATGCATGCACCGCAATCTAGGATAAACGCCCTGCGGTGCTCATCCTTTCTCGCCTCTCTGTCCATGATGCGTAGAATTGGCGTAGAATAGTGCCATGCCGCACCTCTTCCCCTTGGTACCATGCTGCCCTCCTCCAACTCCTTACTGCTGTGTTTACCTCAATCCCCTACTGCTTACGACCGCCAAAACAGCCAACTTTACTTAGTCTGTAATCACTCTTCTCGTGGCCAATTTCCACAATCCAAGACAAACGCCCCACGGCGCCCATCTCCTTCCGCCTCGAATTGGCGTGGAATAAAACCATGCAGCACCTCTTCCCTCCTTAGACCGCTGTAGTCACTCATCGCATGGAGCGCATGTGTGCACCACAGTCTAGGTTAAACGCCCTACAATGGCCCTTTCAATCCGACTCTCTGTCCATGGTGCGTGGAATAGCACCATGCCGTGCCTCTCTCCTCCTTACACTGGTGCAGTCACTGCTCTTGTTGGACGCATGCACGCACTGCAATCCACAACAAACGCCCTGCTGCGCTTGTTCCCTTCCGCCTCTCCGTCCATGATTTGTTGGATTTCTTTCCATTCCACACCCCCTTCGCCCAGATTGCTGATTCATTACTTCCCTTCACATGACTTGAAGCTTGACCGTGAGGATGACAAACAAGATAAGGACCAACTACGAGAAAGGGGGACTGCGAGAAAAGGAGACTACTCTGAACTGGACATCACATGCATAGTCGCCCAGTTCTCACAGACTGAACTGGATGATGCTATGCGTGGACCTCCCAATGTGACCCATGTCTAGTTGGTCTCGAATGCAAGTCATACTAAAATAATATAGAACTTTCATACTACGTGCTGATCGTCAATCTTTCTTGGTGAAACAAAAAGGAAATCAGCTTTTATAGTGCGAGGACGACCACGCGGATTGCCACAATCAACCCCAGACATGTGTATGAAATGAGATACTAGAGCTTTCCCACAATTCAATTGCAAGCGTGGATATAAATCAAGTTCTAATAACCATTCTGGTATCAATTCAGTAATGACTAAGAAACTGAAGTATGCTTGGGTAGGAAACAAACCTGTAGGGATTTAGAATGCCAGTCAAAATGCTAACTTTGCGAGTTAGAGGACGCCTCTCTTTATCTTTGAATTTAGCCAAAACACCCATATTTGGTGGACCTTGGCCGCCATTGCCATCGTATCCATCGTCGCCGAGCCACACGGCATTGCCATAACAATAGGTACCCTAGGTCTGATAGAGCTAACGAGCGTAGTCGAAATCAGCAGAGGAACCATAGCTCATAAGCATGCTGAGCTTTGTCTTTAGAAGAACAGGTGGCGATCTAGTCTGGAGTTGTCGTCGCCGTTGAGTGGTAACATGCGCATGTCATTCTGGGAACCACCGTGTGAGAATGGCTTGTTAGACGTAGTATAGTCGTCTTTACAATCAGGGCATTTTCCAGACTCGTTGAGTGCATCGAGGTAGCAGTGGCGGCAGATCTTGAAGTTGCAATCACAAGGTGTCATGTCTTTTCCGCGCTTGTCGCGCATTGCCTTCTCGTAATAATTGACGACGGCGCAAGTAGGACAGCGTGCACCCCCAAGCTGCTTGCCCTTTCCAAAGACCGCTTGATCTCCCGACATTGGGTGGTCTGGTGTGGCAGGGATGTAGACAGTGTATAAGTAATCGGATCCCAGTTCGCTGTCTGTAGCACCCCCCATCTCACTCATGTCAGGCGAAAGGTTGTTAAATCTCCCTCTGGACGTAATTCTCGCATGGTGATGATTCCTCCCACCGGCATTCTAGTTGTCTGAGTTTGTGCGACCTGTCATCTGCACGCCACGAGATTGTCCTGCATTGCAAAACCCCAGTCCACCTTTTGTAGCAGACCTTGGCAAAGCCATGGCTGCACGCCTCCTTAAACCTTGGTCGTCAAACATAAATCCTTGATCTAGATTAACAGACTAGTGCTCGATCTCCCACAAAATAACCTCAAACTAAGCCGCTACGACGAAAACACCACTCTTCAGTTTCTGCATCTGCTCAAATTTTCTGTAAATAATGCATACCAGACGTGGACATATTAACAGTTGTTTCAAACAACAGCAACCACAACTTTCGATTCTCTTTCTAGTTGTCTCAAGATACGGGTGTATTTCAGGCTCCTTGAATCACAAGTGCAATGAAAATGAGGCTTATAACGAGAACGACACTTACCTGGAATTGCATATCCATGAGCATTTTACCTTAAATTGTCAATACCCACTCGCTTCCCGACATACAACAAGGACTCCGACTGCAAAAACTCGACGTCAGATCCAGGATCCCGCACCAAGGAGGTCGATCCTAGCTTCAGTGTCCAAGAGAGAACCCCTGTTAGGTAGTTGAGCTCAACATGGATCGCCACACGGCAGGCAAGAAGAGAGGGGAAGTGAGGGATCTTCATAGCATCCCAAAGAGCAACACTCACAGAAAGATCTTGATCGCAACACTCTTCCAGGCCGATCCAGGGTGGCTGGTACCTAATCTAACCCACAATAAAATAGTTTATTACTCCTGCGCTTCATGTGTGCACCGTAGGCGGCGGCTAGCTCCTCGTCTCAATGCCTGATTTGGGAGCGGCGGTCAGCCGGGGTTCATCAATCAGGTAAATTACTAGCTGTAAAGAGTCAATGTGAGTGAAGCAGCGCCATGAATCGCCTTGTTTTAGACCAGTAGCGAATTCGCACAGGGTAAAGTATTCGGGAGTAGATTCAAAATCGCCCGGCAACACGCTGCGCTACTGGCCTGTGAAGTGGATTATCACGAGTCTGCATTAAAAACTTGTAGATGATCGAAACAATCTAGACCAGAGCCAGGAGGCACGTCGGAGCCGTGACCCCACACTGCAATTCAGCTGTCAAATTTCGGGGACTATTAACATGGTGCAGCGATCCGCACATGTTTGAAGTCCTGTTCAATCGCATTCTGAATGAATGTATCTAGCTACCTACGCCATCGATCGATCTTTTTCGATGCGAATTTGGGCTCTCCGGGTCTGCAGATCGAATGCATCGCACTTTGAATTTAGGCCTCTGCCGTGGTTGGGCGAGGTTGAACCCGGCTTAGCCTATCGATGAACTTTTTTTTTTTTTTTTTTTTTTTTTTTTATCGTTTGTCGTTCAGAGTCGATGGACGTTCCAACGGCACGAGATGACGAGGGAAGATAGAAAAATAATAATAACATACGTGGGACAAAAATTGTGTAAACTATTCATTGATGATTAAATAATGGCAAAATACGTAGAAACGTGGATATCTATCAAAGGTTTGTGGTTTGAAATGCACTTGTGAAATCTCAATCTCGGTTCACGGATTCTCGCATCTTGTTATATGACTTCTTATTGTACCATTATTACTTTACAATTAGAATTAAATTTGAACATCTAAATGGTAATTGGAAATACACATATATATATATATATATATATGTATATTAATATTTTTTATATTTCACATGAATGAAACCTAGTCTCGTCGCGAGTCTCGGACTTCTTCTTCCTCTTCCTTGTCCTGCCGCAAGGCTCAATGTCATCACGAGTCTCGACTTCTTGTCTCACTCCTTTGCTCAAGTCTTGACTCCTAGCTGTCTCGACTCCTCACTGGCCGCTCAGTCTTTTGTCCAGGTCTAGGGTTTAGGGTTTAGGCACCTTGGTAGCCAATTTTAACTGGACGTGCTCTTGGCAACCGATTCTAATTGAACCTGCTCTTGGTAGCCAATTCCAACTGGACCTTCTCTTGGCAGCCGATTCCAATTGAACCTGCTCTTGGCAGCTAATTCCAACTGGACCTGCTCTTGGCAGCCGATTTCAATTGAACCTACTCTTGGCAGCCAATTCTTACTAGACATACTCTTGGCAGCCAATTCCAATGGAACTTGCTCTTGGTAGCCAATTCTAACTAGACTTGCTCTTGGCAGCCGATTCCAATTGAACCTACTCTTGGCAGCCAATTCCAACTGGACCTTCTCTTGGCAGCCGATTCCAATTGAACTTGCTTTGAATATTATCAGCGTTGGCATCAAGTTCAAATGTTCCAAATGTCGCCGATGTGTCGACACCGCTGACATCTGTTTGTGTCTCCTAGCCCCTGAGCTTGCGCCGCTTGCTGTAGCGTCGCTTGCAACATCCCACGTTACCCTCATGACATTGACTTGCTTGCAAATGACCCCGCATTTGCCCCCATTCCTCAACCGACCCAGGCCATGGCGGAGGCGACTTCGAGGGAGACAACGGAGGGCTCAACAATACAGCGTATTGCTTGTACTTGACTACCGTCGACCTGGGTGATGAATTCTGCGATGTCACATATCCTGCACCCGAGTCGACCGAGCTCGAGTACCTCGACAAGTGGCTCGGATCGTGACCTGCCGATGCTACGTCGTAAGACAAGCTCTCATATCTAAACGCCCCATCATAGCACGCCGCTACTCTAGCTCGCGGTGACCCATCGTAACCTCCTCCGCTTCGACCTCCTGTCGTCACTGCTTGTGCCGTTGCAGGCAACAACCGGAGTTACTTCAGCGTGTGTGCAAAAAACACACACCCAAACGACGATAATTTTACCCATCTTTGCACGGTTGCATCTAGTATCGAGCCGGATGCAGCCAACACTCAAACACTCTGTGCGTGAACTTGCATGCATCGCCTCTCCGAGAGCTTTCCTTCCAAAAGTCCAAGTATGCCGTCCTCGAGTAGTGGTACTGCCGCGGATCGCAATGCTTAGCTTTGTCGCCTGGGTAGACAAACGGGCACTCCGTTCAATCATGGATCCTCCCCCTCGTCCATCGCTTTACCTTGAATTCAAACATCCACAACTGGTCGACCCATATATGTTCACCACCGGCTATGCCTCCTTGTCCTTGTTGTTCGACGGCGGAAACTTATTGAATAGTGCATGAAAAAGTGTCGGTGACCCCAGTGACAATTCCCCGGCTTCCAGCGATGACGCCGACCTCAAGCTCAACCCTCGTAGGGCCACTTCACCCGCTCCACTTCTCCCTTCCCGCTCCCCGCCTCAATCAACGATTCCTTATCCAGCATCGAAAACCCTGAGAACTCACTCCTCGACACCGGCAAGCTCGACGGACTCAAAAAGAAATTATTGAATGCGTGCAACTGCGCACTCTTCCTGCCCCTCAAGTTGTGGCTTCTCTGATACATCCCACCCAATGCGCTATCTACAAGCACCTCATCGACAGGACTCCGACCCTCAGCTTTCCTGACTCACATTTTGAAGGTTACAAATTGTGTCATCCTTTCTTGTGTTCGGTGTGAGAAGCATGCAGCATCTTCCTTCGTTGCATGTCATGCATGCAGGAGGATGCTTTCCGTTTTATGATTATTTTCCATCTCCATGATATTAGACTAGAAACTTTTTCACCGGGATATGGTTTTCTACAGAGTCGAGTTATGGAAATCAATTGGAGTTCTAGTGGGAGGACTTGATTCTCATGTTGGCCGGACTACATTAGAATAGATTACATCGGGTGTAATCATAGAATCGTATGGTATGACATCTGTTCAACCTTGATCATCTCATTGAACCTAGTATATAATCCGTCAACCTCCGCCAATTAGGAACCATACATACACACACACACATGGAAGCATGTAGAGTTTTAGACACAGGTTGACATGTTATGCAGGTGGTGGAGTAGACAAGAATTGACCTAATAAGGAACATGCGAAGCGATGTAACGTCCCTCTGTCTCAAGCTCCTATTTCAACCTAAAACACAACAAAGGAACACAATCACTCACCATAGAAAACACACACACACACACACACAAAAAATAAATAAATAAAACAGAAACAAAAATAATAAAAAACAAAAAACAAAAACAATGCAAATCGCCCCAAGAATGCCTCAACTTCACTTCGAAAGAAAAAACAGATCAACACAGGGCAGCCGAATTTTGATCTAGCACAGGATCACCTCCAATGCTTGGAATTCGAGCTTGGAGTCTGGCTCACCTCGCCTTATATCACAACTTCATCTTTGACTGGACTAGGTAAACCTGGTTTAAGATTTTAGGGTTTTAGGGATTAGAGGTTTTGCAACACTTGTAAATTGTGAAGCTTAGTTCACAATTGCTTTCATGCCTCCACTCATTCTCAACGCCACAATTCAAGATTACTGGCTGCTGCATACCTCAGAATGCAATAGCTTTCATCATTTCATGTGAGCCAAGGGAAGCAGCACCCCTTCACAAATAACCGACACATTCTATACAACACAAAACAAAAAAATACAAACAAAGCCAAATACACAAAATGGACCAACAGCCCGAACAAAGCAACAAAATATATAAAACAAATGTGTCATACAAAACTTGAAAACCTAGAAATGAACAAAAAGTCCACATTCTCCATCAATACAAAAATCCCAACAACAACAACAATAACAACAACAACAACACCCCAAAAAAAAAAAAAAAAAAAAAAAAAACTGTAATACCTTCGAAGAGACCGCAAGCAAAATCTTGCACAAAATATATTTCTAAATAAACCCACATACATTCGAGGACGGCGAATACATGCGACAGTTCATGAACTTGAGCAATAGATCTTGTCCTTGTATCCATAACAAGAGCCCATAGATTTGTACAAGAAGCCACACTACTGTTAGGGACATAGTCCTTAGATCTTTCTAGAGACAAATTTCTAGAACCTTCTAGAAAGAAGTTTCTAGAAACTTCTAGAAGATTCCCTAAAGATTCTATAAAGATTCCCTAAAGATTCTCTTAGAAGGCTCTAGAAGATTCTTAGAATATTTTAGTAGATTCTAGAAACTTACTTGAGAAGCTTCCTAGCTCTTGGGTAGTTGCTCGAGAAGCTTCATAGTTCTTGGGAAGCTTCTTGATGCGCTTCCTTAGAACCATAGGCCAGTAGTATATATAAGAGTCGAGGCTGAAGAGTTCTTCAGCCTCGACAACGCATATCTTGAAGCTCTAGCTCAATTCTCTTGGCGTTGCTCTTGTACTCATCTGTTTAATCTAGTTCTTGTCATTTCTTCTTAAACTTCTTGTTTAGATTTCTTGTTTATATTTTTGGTCCGTGACAGTTTGTCGAGGCTGCTTTTATCTTAATATCAGAGCTGAATCCTTCTTGTTTGAGAGCGGATTACCCCTCTTCTTGAAGGTATTCTAGCGCTTTAGGGGTTGCGGATTACCTTCCTCTAAACTGATATTTTCTCAATCACAATATCAGAGCTTAGTTCTTTGAGGCAGAGAGTGAACTACCCCTTTCTTTGGAGATACTTGAGCGTTCTAAGGGTTGCGGATTACCCTCTCTTGGACTGATATTAATTCCTTTTTTTTGTTTAGCATAGCTAGTAGAAAAGATTGTTAACATCGATTTCAGAGCTTTGCCTTCTTGATAGAGTGCGGATTACCCCTCTTCTCGAAAGCATTGAGATATTTTTAGAGGTTGGGGATTACCCTCTTCTAAAATTTAAATCATTTAGTGTTTTTTTTTTTTTTTTTTCTCCGAGT